GCACACACACACACACACACACACACACACACACAGAGTAAAATAAAATAAAATAAAATGTGATGATGAAAATAATTTTAACGTAGAAAAGGAGGGTGGGAGAGAGAGATTTCATGAGAGAAGTAGACACTGAGAAACAGACACAGAGACAGAGCCACAGAAAAAGACTCCTTCTGTTCCTTCTTGTCCTGATCCGATCTGTCCAGTCCGCCTCTGGCCAATTTCTCCCTTCTAGCCTCTAGCTCGCCCTCCTAAGGCAGCTGGGACACGACTTTCTCCAGAAGAGATGCCGGGAGGGAAGTAACAAGCGAACCAGAACCAGAAGGCTGGAGAGAAAGGGGAAGGGAGCACAGGGAGGGGCAGGTGGCTCTGGCAAGGGGAAGCTGGGGGAAGAGTAGGAGGGACTTTTAAAAAAAAATCTGTTTGAGCATGGTGGCTACATTCCTGCTAGCAAAACGGCAGAAACAAATTAGAGTTTCTTCCTTTTCTACTGTTCATTGTGGAGATGTTTGCTACTGTAGTTTTGTGTGTATTCTTTTGATTTAAAAAAAGAAATCGCCAGTACGTGAACACCACGTTTGGCTCCTTTTCTGGGTCTCTTGGGAGGACTGTGGACCCAGACACCAGCCCATCATCCCAGACCTTAACTCATCACAGCTCTTCTTTTTCACATACATCCTCATCTTCTTCTGAGAAGAAAAACGAAATAAAATTGCACTCCAAGGCGAAAAAAATAAATCCTAAGCTAACTACCACAAGTCCACTCCCACCCTTCCAGACCCTCTCTCGATGGTTTTCTGAGGAATACTGATGAGAGAGCAAGTCACCAGATTCTAAAAGAACCTGGTGTGCAGAGCTGACTTGAATGTAACTAGTTCTGATGTCCCAGCTATTCACATATCCTCCCCTGTAAAACAGAGATTAAACTGTTGGCCAGTAGTCTGGCTGCAGATAACATATACCAGGCAGTTTCTGTCTTCCTTCACCCCAGACAGGGTTTTACTGTGTAGTCAAGGTTGGCCTTGAACTTACATTACACTCTTACCGCATCAGCCTCCATGGCATTGGATTACAGGCATGTATCATGGGCTGTAGGTATTACTTTTAGAGAGTCTTCAACACAAAGCCCACTTTGCAGACTACAAGACTGGGAGACTAGACTATGGTCCCCACACTCTTAAAGAATGGAAATAACATTTAAACTAGCTTGAACCAACAATCACTGGGAATGTCCTTGCCACAGTTCCCAGCAGCAGCAGAACTATGATTCGTAACCCTCACAGATAGCTGTCCTGTCTCTGGAGCATGGATATATTGAAAAAGAAACAGGTTTATAAGTCACACTGAGCCTTCAAATTCTAGTTTCTCCTTTATTGGTGAATAATAATAAATTCCTCTTAGAGTTTTGTTGGAATGATATTAAGAAAGCAGTACTCAGTGACTGGCACATGACTAGTCTTTAGTAGAGACCCAATTCCTACTCAGTGACTGACACACCACGAGTCTTTAGTAGAGATCAATTCCTACTCAGTGACTGACACACCACTAGTCTTTAGTAGAGATCAATTCCTACTCAGTGACTGACACACCACTAGTCTTTAGTAGAGACCAATTCCTACTCAGTGACTGGCACACGACTAGTCTTTAGTACACACTTAATCCCTTTCATCCTAAATTATCCCAAATTTATCCCAAATGCAGACTGTATTCTCCCCACTCTGTCATTTCTCAACCTACAGTTCTGTCGTTTGAATTTTGCCCTTAGCCACCCCAGGAACAACCCTAGAAATAATAACACATACTTCAAGAGTAGTTGAGAGGCTTCAAGGAGATCATGTGGGTGATCTTCGCCTGGCACCGAAAACATAATAGCTTTTGTGATTAATAATGAAAACCTAATTGCAAAATTCAATAGGCACTGGAAACTTATTCTTTGATTTCCCCTGTGAATCTTTGCTTTCCCTCCCCTTCCTGTTCTGTCTCAGTTGTGTGAAATCTTCTCACATCTTCATGCTCTGCCTTGAAGCAATGCCAAACTGAGAAGAAAATTCTTGCTTTTCTGTTTAAGGTGGTCCCTGTGACCTGTCAGCAACTTAAGGTCCTGTCTCATCCAGCCAGAGCCCTCAGTGTGAAAAGTCCATCCTCTTTCTCTTAGTATCTTCAAGGACCTGGCTCCCTCATGCTTGTAACTCCAGTACATAGTGCATATTTCCACTGCAGTTTGTTGCCCTGTAATTTATATAGTTCTTATAATTTGTGGAAATGACTTCATAACTTCTGTGCCTTTGCTTCTTCCTAACTGAAGGAGCCTTCACTTCTCTGTGCTTGTATTTTCTACTTTGGGCCTAATAGCACACTGTTATAATCCTAGGACCCAGAAGGCTGAGTACTTGGGGGAATGCACATTGGAAGCCTGCAAAAGCTATATATGAGTTCAAAGCCACCCTGGTCTACATCATCACAAAACTAAGTAAGACCCTGCCAGAGGAGGGGAGGGGAGGGAGGGAACCAGGAAGGGAAGGGCTACAAATGATGGTGATTTGGGATGGGGAGTGGAGGGAGGGTGAAAAGAAAATAAGTAGCATGGTGGCCAGGATATACAATACATCCTTGTATTTTAGAGACCACTTATTAGATTCAAAACAAGGAGAATATAGTGTTAAATGTCTGAAATTATCCCTATTAGTGGCTTTCAGCTGTAACTCCAAGAATAGAATAGAATCCCAGTGCAGAAACCATTGAACCAAGTGGACAACACTATGAGGATCTGAATCTTAAACCATTTTAGGTCATTTATGCCAGTTTCCCAAAAAGATGTAGTAGCATAGAGAAAACAGGGGAATCCAGGAGCAGTGTGTCCAGCAAAGACAAGCAAAGGCACCTGTCCCCATCTTTTAAGCAACTCTTGGGCAGTTGATTTTAAATCAAACTGTTCCCTCATCAGTACTCCTGCAGTTGCCACTGGGATGCTTCAAGAAATGGGACAATGTTTTCTCTTGTCACTGCCGCAGAATCTCAGATCTGGTCATCTAAATTGTTTCAGAATGTTGGTATCTTTTGATGCCTGCTCTCCTCAAACAATAAATAACTAGATCATAGGCTTGCTCATTTTGGCCAGCCTCCAGTTTAGGATTTCTTGATTTATGGAGGTTTCACAGCTTTTCACAAAGAGTAACTTCAGAGCTAAATACATCACTGGTACAAATGCCTTGTATCTGATTTCTCTATTGTGTCAGATTAAATGAGTTGTTTTCATTTTCAATAATAGGACATTCCACATGTACTAGTGTTACTGTTACAACCAACTTCCAAGCCAGGGACACGTTCTCCTCTCTTTCCTAAATGCAAAGAGTTAAAGAAAGGGTTTCTCATAAGTTGCAAACCACAGCAAGACAAAATTTGAATTTTGGTGGAGTCTGTTGAGCTGAACTTAACTTTTGGCTGCAAAATCCTAGATCTATATGTGTATATGTGCACTGTGCATAACTTTTCTTTTAGCATTCTTGGGCACTATGTACATTCGTGTGCTAAAATTGTTCCATCAAAAGTCATTATCGAGTGCTCACATATGTGGAACACTATGCACTGACAATGGCATGACCACAGGTGTTTTAAAATTAGGCCAGTTGTGATAATCCACATAGATTTTCACAAGACTGGGCCCACTAATACTTCTCTGTGGGTGGGAAGGAGTGCTTTTGAGGAGTTTGGGAAGCACAGGAGACCCCACAGCCCTCCCTGTGGATATATAAGTAGTTAATGATTTTTGGGCAAGGGATCTTCTTTAGTGGTGAAACCACTGTTAAATTGCTCATGCTCTTTTTGTAGGTAGTCCCTTACCCCTGGTCCTCTAAGTGACCACAATTAAACAACATTTTGATTCATAAACCTGGACTTGGATGGAATTTTTGTTTTATTTTGTTTTTGTTTGTTTGTTTGTTTGTTTTTGGTCTATTATTGGTACCTTGGAGTGAGTGAATACGCATTTGCTCCCACAGCCCCAGGAAAAATTCATGTAAAGTTAATGTCATACAATGATATATTTGCAGCTGTGGGCTCTGGTTCCCTTCGTTTTTATTTCTCCCATCTTTGTTTCATCTCTCTAGTCAATATTTTGTATCTATTTTGACTATTTGTGACAATTAATTTAGAATCAAGAATTTGAAGTTGATAACATATGGTCTCTTCCTGGGCAAACATAGTCTACTGGGGCATGGAATAGCTTATTAATTAACTTTGGAAATACTAATGTAATTTTGATTGATGAGTGATTTTTTTTGCCTGTGAACCACAGGAGACACACTGCATGGAAAGGGTGACATTTGAACAGTTTTTAAGTTGAGCAGGAGACTTTCTAGGAGATTTTTAGACAGCATGTTCAAGGCAGAAGAAGAACATCACCTCCACAAAGCGTAGTCAATACTAAGGAAAAGCATTTCTACTTTTGGGTGGGAGAGGCCATTTCCATGGTATTGGGCCTAAAAAGGCTTGGATGTGAGGCCCAGAGTAATCTCCTGAGCCTGGCTAGAGTTTGGCGACCTGTCACAGGCCTGTAACCTCTACATGGGGGTTACTCAGCAAGGCCTGATGTAAGACTGCCCCCTGCCTAGCTACCTGCCAGCTTGGTGAAATATTATTGGCCCTTACTCCTCATGTCACCTTACCCCATCCTAAGATTCCCATCCCCTACCTTAGCCCTATGTAAATTCCTGCCTGTTGGAATAAAGCGAGATCCTGCTTTGACAAGTCTCCTGACTTGGTGTATATTTCTCCCTGTTAACCAAGATCAGGGAGGGTCTGAGTCCTTGACACTCAGTATCCTGCTCAGCACTGTGGAGGAGACCAGGGAAGACACCAGCTGGGCCAGCCCTTCCCCAGCTCTACCTGCCCGAGACCAGGCACTATGGGATTGTCTTTTCCCCTTGTCCAGTGTTTCCTCCCTTAAGTCACATTTAGCTATCAGGGTAGCCACAACTGATATGGCTGACTCTGACTTCTCAATGGGGTTTCAACACCTGCTTTTAGTAAATGTGTTGATAACCTGTTGATAATCATGAATTTAGCATATGGAAAAATGAAACTCATCAGTTATACCCTCCAAGAATATTCTTGCCTTCAAACTTTTATGACTGACCTCAATACTCTTTCAGTCACCCAGGTTCTACATCATAGTCCTTATTTGAATTTTCTCAGATCATCAAATGGCTGTAGAGTGCATCCACTTTGTACTCCCCTCCCATCCACCTTATTTATTTTTATTGCAACCTCTTTCATTGAGCTACTGATTTATTTTTAAATAAATTAGTTTTATAATCTCTGATTTGGCCCTTAGCTTTTTTTCTCTCCAACCTTGCTTGATTTCTACTGCTACATAATCAATTACTACAAATTTAGAGGCTTTAACAATGTCCATTTAATATCCCCCAGGTCTGAAGTACAGGTGGGCTCAGCTGAGTTCTCTGCCCAGTGTCTCATAGTCAAATTGAGGCCTGTTTGGTGTTTTTATTTGAGGGGTCCAGAAAAGAATCGTCTTCCAGCTTATCCATTTCTGCCAGTTGTGGGATTGGGGTCTCATCTACCTAGCTGTTCACCAGGGCACTATTAGTTCCTGGAAGCCATTGGGTGTTTCTGCTATTCTCAGCAATGAAGAATTTCCTGCATGTTTACTGTGGTGCTTCTGATCTCTTTCTGCAGGAAAAACAAAACAAGCAAAACAAAACAAACAAACAAAAAAACAAAAATACCAATCCCAAAAGCAGCAGCAGCAGCAGCAACAACAAAACAAAACAAAACAAAACAAAACAAAAAAACAAAAACATAAAATCCAAATCCCCCAAACCCTATTCTTTTAAAGAGGTTACCTGAGGCCAGGCCCTCCAGTGATAATCTCCATCTTTTAATGTCAACTTTGGCATATGCTGTAAGCTAACCATTTCAGTGAAATGCTCTCAGATCTGTGGCCTCTTCCTACTCAAGTAGAGAGCCCCTTTAAAGGCCACAAATCACTAGGAACCATTTTAGAATACTGACTACTGAGGTATCCAAGTAGCCAACTACTAGGTCTTGCTCTCCAAACAGTCCATTCCTGCTATAAAGTTTTTCCCAAAGGCAACATGGAGCTGCACATAACCAACTACATTAAAAAAATAATAAAGCAAGCACTTCAGCTTCTACTCCAACTTTTCAGATTCTCCTTCCATCCAATTTTTGAGTATTTCTCCCTCTTTTCTCACACACTTCAAATACAGCAGCCATAGTAGATGGCTCTTTCAAGCTCTCTCCACTTTGTTTCCTTTCCCTGATTTGTCTATGGCAGTTCATCCGTCTGAAGCTGTTATCTGTTTCAACGTGTTGTCTGTTCTTAACTCCTTTCCATCTTCACAGAACTCAGTACTTGTCTTATAGCATCCAGGAGACTTTCTTTACACAGCTAGTTTGCTTTTATAAAGCAAGACTCATTTTGTTATGATAATAATAAATAATAATATAAAACACACCCCTCTCCCTACCGGTGAGGGATATCAGGACCTTATTGCTGACTTTACATCTGCTCCCCTGTTTTCTGGTGGGCTCCTCTAGCCACGGGAATGTGGGGATGTAGCATGTACTTCTCTCTCATTCTGGCCCAAGTTTAACATGAACTTCATCCCCCTCTCAGTCACAGCATTGACACATTGGAACTTGCAAACACAATTTGCCAAAGGTTCATGGGAATAAACATAATGTGGTGGTTTGAAAGAAAATGCCCCCCAAAGGGAGAGGCACTGTTAGGAGGTGTGGCTATTTTGGAGTAGGTGTGGTCTTACTAGAGGAAGTGAGTAACTGTGTAGGCAGGCTTTGAGGTCTTTATCTATACTCAAGGTACCAGTGCTTCAGATCACTTCTTGTTACCTGTGCAAGCTGTAGAACTCTCAGCGACCTCTCCAGAACCATATCTATCTGCACAGCAGCACTGTGTCCCGCCATGATGATAATAAACTGAACCTCTGAACTGTAAGGAAGCCCCCAATTAAATGCTTTTCTTTATAAGAGTAGCTGTGCTTATGGTGTCTCTTCACAGCATTAGAAACCCCAACTAAGATCCCAACCGAATATCAACATGCAACTATATAATCTGTCTTATATGACATTTTCCCCTCTTGGTTTCTGCTTTTAAAAATATGACTTAGAAAAATTTGTGTGTGTGTGTGTGTTTGAATTTTTGCCATGTGTGGGTGCCTGAGGAGACCATAAGAGAGCCTCCATTTTCCTTTGGGTTTGGATCTTCTGGAAGAATATCAAATGTTCTTATTCATCTCTCCAGCTCTGGTTTTCTGTCTTTGGAGTGTCCTCCTTTGTAGTCTCTGCCTTTTCATCATTTTCACAGTATCACTAGATTCCACACGTCAATACCTGCTGGTGATACAGCTGGGAACACACTGAAAGTTTATGTGTTTTTAAGTCTAGAATCAAGACATGAAGACGGTGAGACAGAGGCAGGCGTTCCTCTCCATATGTTCATAAATCTTCATTGAGTACCTCTTATGTATGAAGCATACACACACTGTTCTAGACATCCCACATCGAGCTTAGAGTCCTAAAATGTTGAGAAATTTTAACAAATAAAAAAAACCTTCACAGAAACACCATGGAGATAATAAATCAGAGTTGCAGGATCAAGAACAGTGTGCGAGTAGAGCACCTTTCTGTGACACTGAGGTCAAGAAAAGCCTCCTGAGGACAGTATTGGAATGGAAACTTGAATGATTCGAAAGACAGATATAAGTCTCTGGAAGAAAAGTGTTCCAAACAAGCATAGCATTTGGCAAGGATGGCCTGATAGGCACTTTCTAATGACCATTCTTCACCTTTGCCTGCTAAGTCCTGTTTAGTGACAATATTCCACCTTCTGGAAAATTTGCATAAAATGAGAGATCTTATATTTAACCTCTGAAAAACATCCAAGGAGAATGGATGGCAGTCTTGGGTATGGGGAGAACTGGTTGTATCTTTACTTCCATTTATTTCTGTTAATCCCAAACCTTTAGAGGCAGGGATTATTTATCTAGATTTTCTTCATGTCACCTTCTATGGAGTTCCTTCTATAGAGTTGCCTTCTATAGTATTACTTATAAATTCTGCAGGGTTATTTGCTGAGCTGAATTCAATTGAATGTGGAATGGGTGTCACATTAAATCTGCCAAATACATTTGTTTTCTTAGAAAATCCATTGAATTAAAATAATTTTTATATTTTCATAGAACAAAATAATATGATTTACCATTTGTTTACTTTCTCTTTTTATAAAATTCACTCAACTTGTTTTCAATTAAAACATTCCTTAAAGTTTCAATGACATGAAAATTAAAGATGACTAAACAAATATAATAAGAAAGAAGAATTAGTCAGTTCCTTGAGGGCATAAACTGTGTTTTATATATTTTTGCATCACCCATAGTCACAGGACTCAAACAAAACCAAAATTAGCATTTTAGAACATACTTTCCACTCACACTTTTTCTTTGCCTAGGGAGTAGAATATTTCTGTATGTTGATTATATCTTTATAATCATATAGTATTTTGATTTTTCTAGTTAATTAAAAATAGAAATTATGAGGGCAACAAACCTCTTTCTATGCTATTTCATTATTCTTCTCAATTAACAAATTGGAACAACATGCACACTAAGGTTCTATAACTGAACAGCATACTTGACTGTAGATTTCTTTATGTAACTGAATTCCACATGTTCTAAGTCTCAATAACAGTGCTATCAGAATTTTTTCACAACATCCATCAAAAACAAGATAAAAGTTGACTTTCACTAATTGTTTGTTTCCATCAGTGGAATGTTTCCAGTCAACCCTGAGTCATATTAAGAGAGACACACACCATGAACCTACCTCCAATGCTTTCCTTCTGTGCTCCATTGACTGAGGAGCCTGGACGGCTCAGGAGATGTTTGCACAGTTTCCCTGTGCTGCCTGTGGGCTCTGCACTAAGGATCTGCTCACTGGCCCCCATGAGCCAGTGTCTCCATGAAGTCTCTTCAGCTGCTACATTTTTCTAAAATTTTTCCTTTAATTTTTTTTTTTTTCGAGATAGGGTTTCTTTGTGTAGCTCTGTAGACCAGGGAGGCCTCGAACTCACAGAGATTCTCCTGCCTCTGGCACCCAAGTGCTGGGATTAAAGGCCACCACTGCCCGGCTCCTTGAATTCTTAAAGGCCTTCCTTCAGTAGTAGTTCTGTCTCTGTCTCTGTCTCCCCCTGTCTTTACGTCTCTGTCTGCACAGTAGTTCTTTTAGTATGATCCTTGACCTTCAGAAACACTTTCTTTAAAAATTGCTTTCTTTTTAGAGCTCTTCTCTCTGTTTTCACCTCAGTCCTTTGGCGATAATTTCCTGAAACACGTTTCAAAACAGGAATACCATAACCCATATTTTATACCTGGCAACTGCGTCACACATCGTTGGATGCCCGTTCCCATTCTTATTTCCGCAGCGGTTTCTCTCAGGTGGGAGTGTTTGGAACACTCAGGCGGGATGAGTCCCCCTGGTCTCTTGTTTAGGCTCTGCACTTTACCCTTCTCCACACTGTGACTTTTCCCCTTCTCTTCACCTTACCGACACCATCATCTATAAATGCAGTGGGCAGTGGATGGAGGAAGGTACTGAATCTCCAGAACTGCTGCTGAGTCACTGGGAGAGATGATCTCATTAGCACAGAAGCTTCTGTCTTTTCACCCTTGACTTCAGGTGTAGTTGCCCGGATGACCCAAGTAAAACTTTCACAAGATCAGTTAAAATTGCTGAGGTATGATGACAATGGTTTTTGATACATGGATAGACAGGAGTATAGAAATGATAAAGACCATCACCACACACTATTTTATTCTTTACTTTTGCTTTTGAGTTTCCAGGTCTTCTCTGGCATTTCTTCCTTGAGGGAAGTCATTTTAAACTGCCCCTGGATATCTGCCCACAGGAAAGGGAATAGCTTTCCTTGACCACAAATAATCATCTACCAACAACTCCTCCACCCTGTTTTTCAATTTTTGAACTCTGAGGTTAATTCTTGCCTTATAAAATTAAGATCAAGGTAACTCTGGCAAGGAGCCAGCCCCTGCAAACAAGTTCTTTTACTGGGCAATGAAGAGTGATTGCATAAATGCTATATAAATATTTCAAGCACCCATGTTGTCAATCCTGGTAACTATTGCTGTAAACAGGGAAGAAGCTCTGAACAGTGCTGGGGGAGCTCCATGGGCTGTGAGCAGAGAGGAATTACAACGAAATGGAATTGATAAATTCTGCACGCTACAGGTCACAAGACCAAGGGCAACTGTTCTTCTGTTTCCATAATCCCACTCTCTATGTTCAACATGCAACACATTTTTTTGAAATATATGTTTTGAAAGTAGTGCAGATGAAGGGAATTGTACTGACCTTTATAGTTAGTTCACTATATATTTTTTAATTTTAACACTCCAGATTTGTCAATTCAAATTTACTGGCAAGCATTAACTCCAACAAATGTAAGTCCTGTCTTGGTTGTTCTTGTTTTAACTACTCTCATGCAAATCCCCCTGGAAGGAGACCCAGGCATAGAATCCAACCTGAATTATTAACCCCGTCTGATCAGCTAACTTCAACTTTCCCTTATTTCATGCAGGTCTTCTGTACAACTCCAGACTGTTAGGATGTGGAGCAGAAACATGTGAGAGCTAGAAACAGCAGGAATGGACATCTGAACATACTCATATCCCTCCTCGGAACCAGCGTCCTGCGGGGAAGAGTCACTCCATGTGCCAAGAAAGCTTTCTGCCTGCTTGGTAAATCACTATTGAAGGGTGGCTGAAAGGCCACCAAGGCAAAGTCGGTGATACTTCCTCCCATTATGTCAAGGGAAAGGAAGATGCAAAGAGAGAACTTCCTTATCTTTCCTTCTGTTTTCTCCTGGCTGTAACTTTGTGTCTCATATCGATGGCAGACATTGGTTCTCTTTTAACAGAAATAAATTCCATTTGACGTCTCCTTCAGAAGAAATCAACTTCTCTTTCATGGATATGATAATTAATACTGCATTCAGCATTTTTCTCTCTAAATTCAGTGGTTGTTTATAATGCAAAACTCTTCTTTAAATCATCAACATGATGCAGGTCCTAAAGATAAGGAAGAGATCTTCAGACCTGAAGTTGTTAGCTCCAACCTTTCTCTTGAATCACGTATGAGAGATTTCCTACTTGAAATTATTTCAGGATATCAGATACAAGTCACAATAAAAGGGCAGAGACAACTAAGAGTTTTCTGGGTGGCTTAAAATTACCATGGAAAATAGCTGTCCTGCATGGTGAAAGAAATTTCACCAGTAGCAGGATTTCTCTTGTTTCTAGACAATGCCAGGACACAATTCATTTGTGTACAAGGGGAGGGTACAAAGAACAGATATACAGAATGTCAGAAACCTTCCCTCCCTTTCTCAAAGGAGATGGTCTCCAGGAAGGGAAGGTGCAGGGGTGCAGGGACCCATGGCAGGATACTTTGAGCATTAGGGAAAGGATCCATCTTTGCATCAGAGATCCAAAGAGTTCCCTTCTTTGGCTCTTGTCATCCATCCAACCTTCAAAAGTCCCCTAATAAAACAGAGATATTCCTGGGGAAGGCTAACACCTTGAGTATTATCAACTGGTACCAGTTAACACCTTAAAGGAAACTTGGGAGAGTTGCCAAAAGTTGGAATAGAGAGAAAGGGGAAGTAGGAAGAGTGCCCAGAGTTAAGGGCTGCTGCCCTCCTTGCTGTCAAGTCAGGATCAGCCTTGCTCAAGGTCTCAGAACAAGTGGACTCTGTCTTACCCCAGTGGCCTTGGACAAGTGAGCTCTTCAGCTAAGCTAGTTTCTAGTCTACCTGTTAATTGGAGGACATAATTATTTTTTATCTTGTGAAGGGTGTTGGGAGAATTTATGGCCTATAAAACATTGGAGATTTT